CTTAAAGAAAAAATGGAAACAGGTTGTAAAAATGTACAAATACAGAATATACACATTATGTAGAAAGAAAGATATAATTCATAGACTGTCTTTCGAGAATTTGATTTCCAATTAAAATCTAAGCTATTCCCCCTGCTTGGCGCCTCAACAAATGTCGATGTGTTTCATTTGCGATTCGCCACCACAAATAACATGGCATGCCATCAGCCGCTTCTCCGGCAAACTGGTTTGTGTGCACCTTACGGCTAACATGTAAGGTTCAAGGTTTTTTCAGTAAAACGCGCACCTTGGTGACTGACGAATGCATTATTTAATAAATACAACCACACAGCTGTTGACTTTCTACGTTAACTGTATATGTATATGTAGTTGAATTTTTTTCGCATTTTAATTATCATACCACCTTACACCGTTACATGCATTGGAACTCCAATTACTTTTTGCTTTTTATTTGTTTAAATATTGATTTTCGACATAAAAAGTCTTCATATTTTTTATAGCTACACCGTTGAGTGGACAACTAACTTTTGCTTTGTCTTTATCAAAAGCGTATACAACAGCTTAATTTCAGCTCATTTCGATAGCGATAAGTTGGCTTGTCTGCTTGCCTCAATTCTAAAACAATAATTTCTAAATGTTCAATTAGAAATTTAAGAATAACGCATTTCATGAGTCGTAAGGGCCGTTTTCTCAGACACAAATACTTGAGAAAGAGGCCCTAAAGCTTTTTAGGTTTATCTGTGAGAGTTACGAAAAAATCCATCTGTATATATGTATAAAGTTTTTAGAATTTGGAGACATGTTTTAAAGCGGTCCTTATTTTCGGTGATGTAACAGTTAATTACGTGCTAAGTAAAAACTTTTTTAGAAGCTTTGGAAAATATTTGTGAAAATATATTTACATATCGATGGTCCCCTGCATCAACGATACAAATCAAAGCCAAAAAAAAGAAAATGTTACTTCTTTTAAGTGGCTCTCGTCCTAATCCTTGTCTAATCTATGTCCAACATTTACTAAAGTAAGTAGTTAGGATTGCTAAAGTAAGTACTAACGATTAGACATGGATTCGGCAAGGATTACAAACTTGAGCCATTTAACAGAAGTAAAGGTTTTAATTTTTTGAATTTTGCATTGTGAGGTTATTGCAGAGGGCCATCGATATATAATTAAAAAAAAACTTTAAAATTTCGAAATGTGTTTTAATACACATTTGTTTGCTATCTGCATAGCAACTGCAAATGTTTTTTACTCATCTGTAGGTTATACATTGTACATTAGATCCTACTTGAAATAAGTTCGCTTGTACATTGTTGGGTCTAAAGAATTTTTACAAAGCAATTTCGAAATTTTTGTTTTGCCGAAAGGGGTGGCCATTTTAAATTATCTTTGGCAATTACAGTCGGATCTTGAAGTATGATAAATCGATGTACTTGTCTCGAGGAGAAAACTCTTTTGTTTCAAAGTTCAATGATCTCAAGTGGCCCGTTCTAGTTCTTACCCACCAGATCTCAGATCTTACCACTCTAACGTAGTGCCCTAATATGAATAAATTCAAGCGCATAAAACCATTCAACTTTTGCTAAGGAAGTGTTTTTAATTCTTCTGACTTGAATTGACTTTCAAAACTATCTACTTTAGGCTCAGGGGTGTACGGCGAACCAAGGCATATCAAACAGGTAGTAGCATTAGAGCAAAAACAACATTTGCGTGTCTTTTGTTGTGGTATCGAAAGTATCAAAAACAATAGCAAAATAAAAAATTAAATTAAAAATTGAAATTGGAAAAAATAAAAATTGTGGCAATTTTCTTTCTGAGTAAATTTGTTTGCTTCTCGAAGCATTCATCCATCCTTTGCAAGGCTCGAGTAAGCAGCGGTTGTTCTGCTGAGTTGGGCGAACGTTCAATCGCTTGTTTTGAATGGAAAAAGGTTTCGTAGATTTTAACAATTTAGAATTTTTGTGAGAAGAAATTAAAAATATTTGAAGTTTTCGCGACCAAATAATTTGAAAAAAAAAAATTAAATCAGCTGCTCTACTGATTCCTTCTACCCGTTCAATGTGCCTTGCGGCGATTTCTTTTTTTGTTTTTAAGATGTTTCGGTCTAATGTACATACACATGCTGATATTTACGCACATAAACCTTAAGCTAATATCCGGTTAGGGTTATACAATAATACCACATTTATTGAATCAAAATAATTGCTTTGGTATTTGTGTACAAGTTTATTGTTTACGTCCAAAGATCATACATAGCATACACATTTGTGTTTTAATCTGAATTTTAATGTTTGTATGTACATATGTATGTTAGTATGTATGTGCACTAGACTGCATCACTCCCCATACACGTACAAATCGGTACGGGGTTTCCACTGGAATTATAAAATCTATTCTATTTTAAGACTTTCACCGAAATATTTCGGAAAAATATTAAGATTTACGTGAGCTGGACCGATTTGAAAATACCTCCGAAAATTAAGTGCTTTGTGAATAAAAAAAGTTTTTTAAGTATTTTTTTTGCAAAAAAATCACCTAAGATGACAAAACAGTTTAGATACGCTTAGAAAATGTGCTTTAAAATATTTAAAAAAAATTTCAACGGAATCACAATAATGAGATTTCGATGCTTAGGGTTGTCAGCTTCATTGCGAGTGTATCGAAAATTGCGCGGCGTTGCCTGAAATTTCCACTTGACTAGTGTATTAAAACGGAAAGACTTGGCAGCACTGTATAGTTTTCGACAATTTTCGTCGTTTACTTATTTCTGCGCGACAGTAGGCAATGCCAATCTCGTCGAGTCGTACAATTTAGTCTAATTACGACTTACGCAATGAGGCTGCATATACATATTTAAATACTAAGTATATGTACATATGTAAGTTAAAAGCTTTTTGTTATCAAAAGTCGGAATAATTAATTTTAATA